GAATATAATATACAAGTTTCACTTTTTAAATGGAATTACTGAAATCAATCTACTTTTTCATGATATTCTAATTTTATGACCAGCACCTGTAAGGCCATCCTACGTGCTCGTCCCGTTAGCTATAATTTTCTGCGCATGCGCACCTTCAGACATGTATCTGTGGTGAGCTATGGTTTCAGACAGTAATTGAAGCTTTCTCACTGCGGTTCTTTGAAAATGGCTGACGGTTGTAAGAGAAACAGTGTCTCTGAAGTGTATGAAAAGAAAACAAAGGCTTCAGAAGAGACATATATCCGGAATGCTTTGCGTGGAGAGCTGTCCTTGCAAAGAATTATAGATTTGGTGTCACAGTGGCCCACTGTCGTTGCGCTACTTGCCACTGCTACCAAACAACGGCAACTAAAAAAAGATGGCGCAGGAACCGTGGAGTAAATGTGGAGTTATGTAACCAACTGGGAGCAAAAAGCAGTGATAATCTGTCTGAACGATCAGTTAACTGAGTCCACCATAAAGTCCACAATAAAGTCCCCGCTCAATAGAGTGATTGAGGGATTTAGGGATTAGGGCAGATGTTCGGGTACAGAAAGCTTGCATGAGATATGAGAACACCAACTTTTAAACAGAGCCTGCACGAGGAGAAATGGGCTTGTGCATGCCTTTGCACGCTTTTAATAGGTGCTCCCTTTCGGGAGTGGGTACAGGGTTGTGTGTTTGAGCGTTATTATTAAAGTGGAAATTCGCGAAAATCCTCCACAATACCTTTAAGATGAGTTATTGCCAACAGAGATAGTCTCTGAACAGAAAAGTTCATGTATTTAAATCTAATCAGATTTAGGTAGAGGCCGCTCCAATACATTCATATCATTCAATCTAAACCATTTCAATTTAGCCCTCTCTGAATGTTTTGGAGTCATTTCCCAGCTCGAAAGGGCAGCTTCACCCCTGTTTCAAGGCAATAAAATCATTTCTCAGCTTTTCTTCCAAGATTGACCTTTAGTTAGCTCCATCTATCTTCCTGTCCACTCTGACCAGCTTTACAGCCCTGCTAAAGAAAAGCCTTCCCATTGCATGAAGCCACTAAAATGTATAAGCATGTGTGTAGTGTGTTCAGGGTTTTAGCTTTCTACATCACAAAGGGATTTGCAAATAGGTAAAAAAACGTAACAGCTTTTGATTACGCACAACCCACATGTTTGGTGTGTCCTTGAAAAGCTTTAAAATTATCCTTAGGTTCCTGAAAAAAAATCTACTGTTTGCGTTAGATCAGCAGTGGTAATGCAAAGTGGCTCAAATATAAATTGAAAATATTAAATATAGAATATTAGATGGGTAAGATCTTATCGTCCCCACTTGCTCGAAAGAGTCTGACTTGGTCACTTATCCCCCGAAAAAACCTGATTCTGGTCCCATTTTCCTGCAGTAGAAACTACGCCTTGCTAAGAAATAATGTCGCCCTGGCTTGGAGAGTCAGTTTAGATAAACAACCATGTCCTTTTAGGGTTTCCTATAAAGCAACTTTTTTACATTTTCAGATGATGGCATAAGCAGGGCCCTTGGAGAAGATCTTATTCTGGAGAAGAAAATTCTCCACAACTTTATCCTTGAACCTGTCTGCAGTGTATCTTTGTTTTCATAATGTGGGATTTAAACAGTTTTTTGATGAAAAAATAAAAGTCTGGATAATCTTCACAAATTCAGTTAAATTCAAAGTCAGTTGGTTTGCACTACATTTAATTTATAAGCAAAACCCTAATCAAACAAAAGTACTGTGTACTGTTGCTATTAAACAAAATGTGTGTAAATTTAAAACGATTGTTAATTTTTCTGAGATGCCATTTTTCACATCTGTTCAGCTATATCGATTCATAGTTTTCATGATAATCATTCTGTTGCTCTTTCACTGCATACAAACTACATCTCATATTAAATGCATGTTTGTGTTCATAAAATATAAATTTGTGTTTTTATTCACTGAATTGCTTCTTAAGATTTTTTTTTATGTGTGCAACATAAAGAAGCAATAATTTAAAACATATTTACAACTGAATTGATAACTTTAAATATAAAAATCACCACAAATAAGTCTTGCTGACTATGTTTTGTTTTTGCAGATGCAAACAAATCACAAGACTTGTGACACTACTCACCATCTTTGTCGGCTCTTCTGAATATCTGTGAACAGAAGGTAAGAGAGGGAAATTAGTGGGAGGGAAGATCTGAGCTAAACAGAAATTAATCAATCTAAAATCTGTTTCTTAACAGCTACTCATATGTTTCCTTGAAAGAGGCAAATGACCACAAAAATAGAGAAATCAGGCATTCAATTATGACAAACAGTCATAACGCTCCTTTTACTGCCAAACCGGGCTCAAATGTCCAGATTATGCTGAGCTATATCTGCTTTATCTGACACTAATATGTTAGGAACAGATCATTTCAAATCCTGAATGCTTTCCCTCAGATTCTTAGCTGATTTTGTTATCTGTGGGGTTTAGAAGCCAAATCAAAACCTAAAATGTATAATTATATCACTTTCCTCAAAACAGTTTTGGTTTAGTGGTTTTAAGGTGGTTTATTCTGCTCAAAGAAGTCATAAATTTCGGTGTAAATACCCTCTTGACCAAATGATGTAAATGGTCGCCAACAATGCTCAGGTAGGTGGTAAGTGCCAAAGTAAAATAGGTCTGTATTGACATGGATGGCAGAACTCCTTGCAGTGTTTCCTAGCGAAACATTAACCCTAGTATCTTATTGTCTCAGCCTAATACGGTTGCTCGGATAAAATATCATGGTGCCATATGTCACCCCAGAAGTGTATCATAAAGCCCTCTGAAATCTTATGTCCGTAGGGGCATGTACACTAGGGCTGGGCGATATAGAAAAAAAGCTTATCGA